AGAGAGAGAGAGAGAGAGAGAGAGAGAGAGAGAGAGAGAGAATAAACTAAATGATTACTGATTTTTATCTTCTACAAAGAAGAAATTCCTGAAAAAAAAATACTATACTCATGACCAGGGGAAATTACCAGACCTTAGTACTGTATCTCCTCTCTTGAAATAAAACCCTACAATTGAAGCTTTCTCTGTGTGTCTGTACCCCTGGCTGATCCCATACAAATTCCATATAGAATATTTTTTTCTATCCATAATCTAATTTCATCTACCTATGATAGAAGATTCACAGGTGGGTGGGGAAAACTATGTTACATGTATATATTAGTATTTCAAAATGAACCCCACTCTGCATCACTAAAATGTACTAATAAATTTGTTTTAAAAGAGCAATTATGTTTGGGGCTGGGGACGTGGCTCAGTGGTTGGAGAACTTGCTCAGTATGCACAGGACCTAGGTTCCATCACCAGCACTTAAAAAAAAAAAAGTCTATTATTCAGTAGTTTTTCAGATTTTTAAGGGAGCAAACACTCTGAAAATTGTAGGACCCCTATTTATAAAACAGGCCACTATGTTGGGAGCTCAGGTTCATCTGTGGAACTGTCAGGCTCCAAGGAACAGACTGAAAACCTCATTTCATCCATCACCATCAACTTATCATGGAGCGAACAGAGAACGGTGGGATGTGATTTGCCCAAGGTCACCCAACAAATCAGTGGCAAAGCTAGAATTGGACTCACACCTCCTGACTCTTGTGCCGCAGGAACAGAGATGTCCCGACCCAGGGAGGCTGGAAAGGGGCATTTCCCTGAGACAGATGCTCTTGACAGAGTGTGGTTAAGGTCAGAAAGCAGCGCTAGCTGAGCTCTCCACCTGGCCACAGTGAGTGACAGACAGTGCCCAAGTGGTGCAAGCTTCCTCAGCTCCATGTCCTGGGCCGCCACCTCAGGGGACAGAGATGCGAGAAGCCCCCTGCACCTCGTGGCTCTCAACAGGGACTCTCTTCTCTTCTTTTCCTTGAAAAACTGCCCCCTCCACCCCGGAATGGTTTACCTCCCACCCCACCCCCAGAGCCCAGCCTGGAAGAGAGACGCTGGGGGGGTGGCAGTGGCTGGCATCTGTGCCTTGCTCAGTTCCAGTGTGGCTGGCGACCTATAGCTACTGTCCAGAGTGGGAAAGGGCAGGAACCGCAGGTATTTGGATGGAGGGCCTTAGAAGACAGCATCTAGCAACAGCAGGACACCCAGGGTGACAGGAAACCCAGCTCCCTGTCCACTGGCCCTTTGGGCAGATAGAAATTCTGGAGTCACAACATCTGGCTTCTAGATGGAGCTGCCTCTAGGCAAGGACGGGGGTCTGGATGCCCAGCACCTGCTGAACGGGGTGACTGCGCCAGTCCCACCTCCGCCACACCTGTGCAAATCCCTGCAGCTTTCTGAGCCTCTTTTCTCATCAATGAAGTGGCAGTGGCGATACCTGCCTCCTCCAAGGTCGCTGGGGCTGACTGATGATTTGTAACCCCCACCAGGGGTGGGCTCTGATGGGGTACTGATGATCCTCCCCAAGTGTATGACACATCTGTGCTTTTTTTTTTTTTTTTTTAAGGAAAAGGATTCGTACATTTTGTCAGTGCAGGTCAGGGCAGTGTCAAGATGAAACTTGTTAGGAAGCAGCTAGGAATGAGCAGCAACGGGGGACCCTAACGTAGCAGGTCACATGAATTGCCTTTCAGGAACAACCAGGTAACACAGAACAATGGGTGGACTAATCCTGAGGATAAACAGGGGGACACAAAGAGAGCCAGTTAAGAAGTACGTCAAAAAGGAAAGATCAGTGGGCTAATTCCTGGCAGGGTCTACTGAGGTCACTGTACAGCCAGGAGTCATGGTCAAGGTTTCTCAATGTATTTCAGAAGAGAAATTTCTTTAATAGCACAGGTGCACTAAGGCA